TTTATAAGCTCTCAATTTTTTAATTTTAACTACAATACTTTGAGTTCCAACATTTGAAATTAATAACTTACTAATTAAAAACAATAACTTGAAAATGTAGACAAAAATATGGTTGTGATTAATTTTTATATATAAAATTAATTTTAGATAGAAGGACAAACTGCTCTTCACATTGTAGCAGCTGAAGGTGATTTAGATTCGTTGGAATATTTAATAAATGTAAATGCTTTAGGAAACATCAAAGATAAGGTAAATAAATTTAAATTGTTTGAACTCTTATTAATTAAAATTTACAAGTTTCATTGATTTCAAAAAGGAAGTTTTGTTTAAAAAAAAATTCATATTAAAAAAAAGTAATTGAAATTACTACAGTTAAGAAGTAATATGTTTCCTCTTACAACAGATGTTTCTTCTTACAACAGATGTTTCTTCTTACAACAGATGTTTCTTCTTACAACAGATTTTTCTTCTTACAACAGATTTTTTTTTTATACAAAAGATGTTTCTTTTTACAACAGATGTTTCTTCTTACAACAGATGTTTCTTCTTACAACATTACACCATATGTTTCTACATACAACAGATGTATTTAATTTTAACAAGTAATATCACTATAAAAATTTTGACTACTTGATGCAAAAATGTAAACAAATCAAAACCAGTTTCAGTTGCGTTCTATTATGCATCTTTTGTAAATATGTTTCAGTTTTGCTGGCATATTTTTATGCAATGCATTTGTTTGTTTTGCAGTTTTATTATAAGCAATTATTTGTTTATTTTATGTGCAGTGTTTATATAATTAAAATTTTTTGATTATGGGTGAAATATACTTCACTTTCTTTTATCACCAAAAGAAGGTGGAGTATACGCCCTCATTAATTCTAAAATATTTTTATAATTTTGCAAACCCCAAAATATCTTGAGGAAGAAAGCTTTCTAAGGCTAGCAGATTACTAGAAGAAAATTAAGCTTATTGATGAATCAAACCCAAAATGAATAAATATAGTGGAAAAGATATAGTAGAAAGCCTATTTTTGCTCCAAGACCATAAATGTGTTTGAAAAATGTTTGCAAATACTGACTTGCTACAACATAATAATAAAATTGCAACACAAAAACACTATCATGAATGCTTCTGAGTATACAGTTTGAAAACAAATGTAGATTTAGATTTTTAACTGGTCAATCCCCCCCCCTTCCCATTAAGCCTAAGTTAACAACTGCAGTGAAAGCAAAGCATCTGAATAGGGCCAAACAGTGTTGTAATAAAGATCTTACACATTAAAAGAGATTGGTATATTGTTATTATTTAATAGTTTCCTAAGAAATAAAGATTGACTCCCACAGATGTTTCTTTTCTTCACAGGTGTTTATTTGTTTTCTGTTGTTGATCTGCTTCAGCAATGAAGTGAAAATTGAATTTTGAAATTTTGCAATATTAAGCTCTGTTTATGAATTCTTGTTGTAGTAAAAGAATTTGCCATTCAAACTATTAATTACCATACAAAATGATGGTCTGGTCAGTTATCAGTAGCAAAGGTACTGGATGTCTAGATGTGGTAAAAGGTATAATTAAAATTCATCATTTGCTGTGAGCCCCATGCTATAGTAAAAGTGAGATCTTTTTCAAGCTTAAATGCCCCCTCCAAGCAATCAGTGAGTGTTGGCTTCTTATCATGACAAGAATAGATAGTAGTATGTGAGAACATCTGGAAGGTTTTTAATGCAAACTAAAAAGAGTAAAAGGCCAAGGATTGAACCTTGAGGAACCCTTGAAGTTACTTGAAGAATATGAAAAAGAGTGTTGTCCATCAAAAACAACTTTTATATTACGATTGGAAAGGAAGGACTCAATAATCTTAAAGATGTTACCAGATACACCATAAGAAGAAAGCTTATGGAAAAGACTAGCATGCTAAACTTTATCAAAAGCTTTAGAAATGTCATGCGTGTTGGCCTTAACCTCTCCACCTCTATTTAATGCACGATAAAACCTATCGGTTATTACTGTTAGTAAATTAGCTGTAGAATAAGAAGATTGAAATCCATGTTGAGTCAAATCAAGATGAGAGATTAAGCGTTTGTTAATTAAAGATTTAAAAACCTTGCTTATGATAGGAAGAAGACTAATATTATGGTAGTTAAACAAATCAGATCGCTCTCTAGAAATTTTGAAAATAGGAATAATGGATGCCACTTACAAGCAGGCTGGAAAACAAGACTCTGATAAGCACTTGTTAAATAGTTTTAAAAGTATAAACGACAGCTCCAGAGAACACTTCTGCAAGACTATAACAGGTATGTTATCCGAACCACAAGCTGAGAAGCACGAAATTACTTTAGATACAGAAGCTGGAGTGATACAAATGTCAAGCAATAGATCAACCTGTTTAATAGCTAAATCAGGTAGAAAGCAACTAGTGGAATCAAGAGATGATATTGATGAAAAGTTCTTAGCAAACAATTAAGCTTTGTCTATAGGTAAGGTGACAAAGTCTGAACCATACAAGAGAGGTAGAATAACAGATTTTCCTTTATTATTTATACTATTAAAGATTTTCCAGAAGTCACGAGAGCCTAATTTTTGTGATGAAATACGAGATTTCATAACCTGAGAATAGTGGGCTTTGGCAATAGACAAAACCTTTTTACAATGGTTTCTAGTAGTAATAAACAGACATCTGTTTTCTGGAGAATTGTTTTGCTGATAAATATGGAAGTAATGGTTTTGATTGGAAATTGCCGCAACACAATGTGAGGAAAATCATGGAGTGAGGTTTGACCTAGAATTGTCGAGAGGGAATAAAAGATTCCATGCCAGCCTTAATCCATGAAGTTATTTAAGAAGCACATTTATCAGCAGGAAGATGAAAGATTTCTACCCAAGGGCCATCAAAATTACAGAAAGAGTCCCAGTCAGCTTTAAGGTAGTTGTAAGAGGTATGACGATAGGGGGATTCAGATGATGAATAAGAATGAGATAATAGTTTTGGAGAGATAAAACCGTGATTAGAAGCACCTAAGGGTAAATGTGGAGAGGCTGAGCATTGACTAGGATCTGAAACAACACATAAGTTGATTAGAGAAGGTAAATAATTCGGGTTGTCTGGAAGGCGAGTAGGAAAGTTGATTATTTGAGTTAGAGATTGAGAAAGGCAAAAGTTGTGGACCTTTACACCTGCAGAGTCACTGACACTAGAGCCTAGCCATTTGGTAATTCCATCTCTTTTTATTCATCTGCCAAATGATATTGGCTGATGGATAAAGAGAGAGGGCTTGGTCAATTTGATCAGAAATAAAATTGAAAAGAGTTCAGTCTTGAAATAAAGGTGAAGTGATATAGAACAAAGAGAAAGACGATAGAGTGAAGTGGTGCTAAACGAAAGCACATAAAAGAATATTCGGTGGATTCAAACCTAATTTCCCAACAAATGGGCAAATTCTTACGAATGCAAATGCCCAGGCAAGCATGTGACTATTGGAGTCTTTACATATTATAGGAAGATAACCATCAACACTAAGATCACAAGATGAGACAGCAGAACTCAAGTAGGTCTGGTGAACTTTGCAAGAGATAAGACTCAACAGAAGAAAAGTTGCTTTGAAGAACATGAATATCAGTGAATGATAAGTTTAGAGAACTTGGTGATGACAATTGTTTTTTGTGTTTTATAGTTTTTGGTACTTTATTTATTTTTAAATTTGTTAAAGAACTTGACTCAAAGCATAGACAGTACTCAGTACACTTTTTAGTAGCCCAAGCAATTGCCTCATTACTATTAATAAACCCTAAGCTGTAACAAAGGGCTCCAAATGTGGCCTTCACAATGCACACAGGGACACCATCCATGCGTAACATGGCACTGTTAATACTTTGATATTTTTCAGCTGTTGATGGAATCAGCCTCTCTGAAAGCTACCACAGAGTTCTGGAAACCTGACTACCAGCCGGCCTCAGAACCATAAAACTGAGTTTTAAAGCTTTACCAATGTTAGGACATAGTAGAATGAGTTCCCTACTCATAGAAACGCAAGCAAAAACCATGCATTTAGTCAAGAAGATCCAGCATTCAACATCCTAAACAGGAAACAATGTATTAAAAATAGATCAACAGATAAAATCTGTTTACCCCTTAAGCTGGCACAAAAAAAGCTATTATTTTTTTGCACAATATCTTTTGCAAGCAATCAGTTGTTTTGCAAGCCATTGGTTTAAATATTTTTTTTAATACTGCTATGGTCATATTATGACACAATAAGTTTTATTTTTTTTAATACATACTAATTTAAAACTTAATAAAATGGTTTAATATTATAAATTATATTCTAAAATTATATAAACAAAAATGTTTTCAATTTAAAAAAAAAGTTTAAATTAAAAGTTCAAATGTGACAGTTTATCAAAAACCTAAGCTAGTATAATTTATTTCAAATTATTTAACGCTATGATTATTTTTATATTTATAATATAAACAAAAGTAATAATATATTTAGTACCTTACATAACTGTTTTTATTGTCAACAATTTAAATTTGTTTTATTATTTATAATTCTAATAGATCAAAATATGTTTAATTTCAAAATTTTAATTTCCTTTTTCAGTTGCTATAATTGACACATAACTATATAGAATAAAAAAAAAAAAATTATTTTAATTTTTTATTAATCAAGTATAAGAAAAAAACATGAGCATGAGAATAGCTTTTTTTTTCTGGCTAAGGCCAGCAAAGAAACTCTAAGAGATTAATTGTATCATATTGCCTTTTCTACTAGTTAATATGCAAGAAATTTAAACTTTAAATTATTTTTTGAATAATACAGCATAACAGCTTAAAAAATAATAAAGCAAGAACCCAAACAACAGATTTTTTTTTAATTATTCAAATTCACTCCCAACAAGGTTGCAAGCAATCACTATCAAGTTGTGAGTTACTAGAAAACAAAGAATAGAGTTAAAAAGCAAAGAAACAGTTAACAGAAGACTTGAAAAGTTGTAGGTT